TGAGATAGTATAATATTCATAGTCTGAGAATGATTTTGAACAGGTAGTAAACTGAGAGCAATGAGTACAGCGGTTTTGAACTGCTCAGATACCATGCTAGCTAGCTCTTATAAGAAAAGGCCTTAGATAGATGCGTGTTTATGAAATACAGTACTCAATTTTACATATTACATCCCTTTATCTTTCTTTTTTTTTTTAACTAGTGTTCGAAGTGTATGCTTAATTTTCATGCTAATGTATTTCATTTGAACACTGATTCTCTCCATCTCATTCCTTATTTAATGCTGGTTATAATCTCACCCTTTTTTATAGGTAGAGAAATAAAAATACATGTAGGTAAATAACAAAATATTTTTGGCCTGACACTGTTCGTAGATTCAACTGCCTTCAATTATCCTGTGTTAACTCTACTGATGATACTATGTTTATTCCAGAATTACTCTATCATTACTGAACGTGAAACCTTGTTTCTTGTAGACAGGCTTTTATCATGCAGTCTGAAATGAAAAGGGAAAGACAGCTTCAGTTGTCTTAGTTTTAATATGTCCTGTAAATTGCCATATTTTGAAAGATTGTGATTTGAATTTTAGACAAATCCGTTATGGATGATGTATTTAGGATTTTAGATACAATTCTGATGACAAGTTGCCTTAATGAAAGCAAATATGTGCAAAACTTGTTAGGTGCCTCCCCATTCGAATTTTTACATCACTCCTGATGTGCAAAGAATAATAAACATGTTTCCTTTTAACAGAGTCAATGTTTATGATCTTTCTGCACAGCCCAGATATCCATTAACACTTTTCAATGCATTGGAGACTGTGTCACACTCTCCAATGCACATTTTCCTACAACCCCAGTTCTGTTGTGAATTACCTTTTATGCTATTCAACATAATTCATTTTTCCTTCCCACCAAGTCTTCCTGTAGAAACATTTGTCTTTAGGCTAGCCATTTCTCCCTCAGATTCCTCTATATATCTTTGGGCCCTCTTAAGTCCATTGTATGTTCTTTTAGCCCCATCAATTCACATTATGCTCCTGCAAAGTTCATTGTCTGGCTTCTGTTGTCCACCCACTCAATCCAATCTCATTCTCTGTGGGTGTCATCAGTCTGTTGGTCCTTAACCACCTTCATCAAACTTCTGTTCCCACAATATTCGTCTTTCATTGGGTCTTCTCTTAACTGTCAAATCCACTCACTGTGCCTTTGCGTAAAAATATCTGTCCTTCACAAACTGACCTTCAGTCATTAGGGTTTGTTGCTCTGGATGGCTCCTGGCCTTTCCACTAATTTTCTGGCTTTCCCCTGTACTTGTTCCTCCTTGCTAGTTTAGTGTTTGTGTCTTCTGCAGATAATACCATACTCCATTTCCTCAGCTTTTACCTCCAAACCCTTTGTAGTCCCAACTAGACTCTGGCTGACCGTGAAGGTAGAGATGCTACCCTTTAAGATCAGGGACCTTTTGTAGGCAAGGCAGAGCCATTGAATCATCTGCTCTGTAAGACTTCCATGACACCTAAAAAGGTGTGGTAAATCCAGGGGTAGGTGGCAGGGTCACACTAGTTGATTCATTTCCCATCTCTCTTTTTTTTTGTGACTTTTAAGCAAGTATGTAGCCATGCTATAGTGTGTTTCTGTTCTAGAAAACTAGAATAGTAATACATGCAGTTTTGGAAGGTTTCATTCATACTACTTAACATGCTATGTTGATAATCTTCCATGTAAGTCACTCTGCAGTACAGTTTTCTCTGTGCTTTAATTATGTCTGGTAAAATCTTCAATCAAAGGTTGATTGAAAAACAAAACATTTACGTGGAACTGCATATGTTAGGACCTTAAACAAGGGGTCAGTGTAAGCTAAAGTACATTCTCCATATGCTTTTCAAAGTATTTACATATAAAGAACTTTATTGGAAAGAAGTGCAGGGGCAATAGTAGTTTTTCAGGCTTTGTCTTTGTTATGTTGGTAAAAAGTGTATTATGCTAGTTCATAGATATAATGGATGGCCCTCCAAGATAAGGTTGAGGTAATATAGTACTCAGGAGCATAGAAAAAAATTTAAATTATTCCCTATTTTTCCTTTAAGAGTAACACATCACCACAGTCATGGTGCTGTTTGCATCCCTCTCTTATTTTCTGTGCTCAAACTTTTCAGACAGAATGGCAAAAGAGAAGAAAAGAAGTTTCCAAGAGAAATTATATAAAGCAGGTTTTAATTCAAACATTGAGTTTGTGATAATCATTCAAATATAAGAGTTCCCATATTTATTTATATATTAACATATTCCCATATATTCCCATATATGTGAAGTTACAGTGTGGATGTAGTATTATATAGTCTATGTTTTGCATTGCCTTCAGAGTCCCTTGGCAAGCACTCCAGCAATCTGCAATGACATTCCCCTTGCATCCTTGGGTTATCTAACAGGCACTTATGTCTCGAGCAGCCCTGGGAAGCAGTGCTTTGAACTAAGCCGGTTGAAGAGCACTACTGCATTTCCAGCAGCAACGATGCAGCACTGTACCTGCCAAATTGTTGTGCCCCAGATGTGTTCATTTCAGGTCAGTGGAAGTCTCACAAATTCCCTCCATGTTCATGTGTGTTACACATGGCTACCCCTTGTTACAAAACAGACTATTTTCAGCCTTAGCAGAAGTGACTGTTTTACATTGCACTGTTTTAGCGGTCAGTTTGTTTGCTTTTATTATTTTCATGAAAGTATTATACAGTTAGGTTATAACACTCTTTTTTCTGCTGCTCAGTTTTAAAGAGCCACAGACTAGGAAAAGATGAATTAAAAAATGTTCCCTGTATCATATTCAAATCACCTCTTGCACTGTAGAAAATTCAAAGGAATTCCTGAAGTAAGATAGAAAAGCAGAGTCTTTTTACTTTCTGTTCTTGATGTGAAATCAGAAAAGAGTTTACTTTCTCCCATTTCATTACTAGATAGTCACAAAAGGGGAAGGAAAGAAAAAGGGGGTTGAGGGGGAAGAGACTGTAACTATATACTGATGAATATGAGACTACTTATTCAACAGGAGAGGCATACCAACTTAGTACATGAACGCATTCTCAGATCTATTTTATGCTCTTCAGTTATCTTTGGAATCTTAATCTGTATGTATGTGCTTTAAAAGTATATCACTCAAAGCTTGAAGTCTGTATGTGGTAGAGATGAGCACTTCCATGCCATCCAATCTTTTAAAGCAATTTGATTTTTGGTTAGATAGTCAAAACTTATTTACTGTCAAGTAAATGACAGGATGCTGTATATTTATTTGTTGATAATGTTAAAAGTATTGCAAACCTGATTATTTTGTAAAAACAATTGAGCCTTCATGCTGATGTTCCACTGTAAGTAAGAGACCAAGAATTTCAAAGCTACCAATTATTAGCATGTACTTTAGTTTGACAGCCTGACCTAGCACCTGGAAAATGTTCATGCTGTGAAAGCTTGGTGCTTGACACCATAAATTATAAATGAAGAGCTGGTGGAAAAAGTGACAGACTGACTCCGAGAAAGAGAGAATTACAAAGCTGAAAAACATTAAACTGACTGGCTGTGCGGATATTTAATCAAAGGAGATAGAAAGCATTTTATCATCATGAATATAAACCTGGGATATCTCTGGGAGTATTTGTCATGATTGGAACAACTCTTCTTTCTAATAAGTTTTATTTACTTTGGTATATTTTGAGAGGCTGCATTAAAAAAAATAAATAAATAAAAATATATAGTCAAATGTTAACCTCATGATTTCCAAGTTGCCTTTGAGTTCTTTCTGGAAGGTTTTTTTTTCACAGTTCTAGACTGCTAGAGTCTTTTCTGTATGTCTTGTACAATGCAGCCATAATGCCAACTATAGTAAACCTTTCACTTCCAAAGTGTGTAACTTACTAAGGAAATGAGATACCACTTCAGAATTCAAGGAGGCAAATTGGTCATTTTACTGAGAGCACTGACACCTTTGAAAGTCTTGACTGGTTCTGCTGTGATATATGCCCACAGCTTTTGGCTCTACTGATGACTTGCCTTAACCGCTACCAGCTAAAACTGTTACTAACCACATCACCTTTAACAAGCTGAAAAAAAATACAAATGTGGGCTTGATAGCCCTCCCCAGTCCTTTGTATTTCTCTTGTTTTCTCAGGTCATTAGGGAGGTCAGGGAGCACGTCCTTGTACTTGAGTATGAATACTAACTTCATCAGGCTTATAGCATTGCCATGGATCTGCAGTGGATTATGTTAATATCCTGTCACTTCTGGAGGCTCATTTATATGATTTGTTGTTAAAATCTAGGTGGTAGTTCAACCTACATCAATGAAACATATGGGGATTAAACTCCTTATGGGTGGATATGCTTTTTCACCCTCTGTGCCACTTCATGGAGACATTGTTAGTTTGCAAGAGCAGGCCAGTCACGTACTGAAACAAATAGCTGGATATACAGAATCACAGAATTGTCTAGATTGGAAGAGATCTCCAAGATCATCTAGTCCAGCCACTGACCTAACACTAACAAGTCCTCCACTAAACCATATCCCTAAGCTCTACATCTAAACGTCTTTTAAAGACCTCCAGGGATGGTGATTCCACCACTTCCCTGGGCAGCCCATTCCAGTGCCTAATGACCATTTCTGTAAATAAGTTCTTCCTAATATCCAATCTAAAACTCCCCTGGCGCAACTTTAGCCCATTCCCCCTCATCCTGTCACCAGGCACATGGGAGAATAGACCAACCCCCACCTCACTACAGCCTCCTTTAAGGTACCCATAGAGTGCAATAAGGTCGCCCCTGAGCCTCCTCTTCTCCAGGCTGAACAATCCCAGCTCCCTCAGCCGCTCCTCATAGGACTTCTTCTCCAGACCCCTCACCAGCTTCATTGCCCTTCTTGGGACTCGCTTGAGCACCTCGATGTCCTTCTTGTAGCAAGGGGCCCAAAACTGAACACAGTACTTGAGGTGCAGCTTCACCAGAGCCAAAAAGGCTGGAGATGCTGGGGTTTGAACCCAGGGCCTCTTACATGCAAAGCAAGCGCTCTCCCACTGAGCTACATCCCCTGACCAGCACCCCTAATAGATCTGCCATTTATGAGCTGTATGAGCCCTCTGCTTTCTGTATCATAGCTTTTCTGTCTGCAAAATAGGCATGACTCCTATCTCATTCTGTGACATAAAAATACTGACTGAATGTAGGCAAGCTCTTATTTAACAGCCTAGAGTTAAGTTATGCTGAACTACAGAAGTAGTAGAAGACAGAGGGTGATAAAGACCCATCAGCTTCAGAGGGTAGGTCTGTGCCACCACTCATCCTCCTGAGGCCAGTTCTGCATCTTGTGGCCACAGAAATGCCTGCCTGCTGGTCTCATTGCTCTTCTTCCTGCATTTGATTTGCTTGTAGGTCACACTTCAGACTCCTGGTTCCTGCTTTCATCTGTGACTGAAGCAGCATGCTCTGAAGCTGCAGCAATATGCACCCTCAAGCACCCTGCCACAAAGCCCAGAGTGGTCCCTTATTTCAGTTCCTCTGTTAGAGATGCTCAAACAGTTCTTCATGGAGCCATGCTGTGAGTCAAGCATGAGCCTCTCTTTAGTTGCCTCAGCCTTTGTACCTCTCCTAACATCTTCCTGTTTTATTCCTCAGAGGGACCAAACAGCTTATTTTTGGTCATGGTTATTAAGTAACTACTTGAGTAAGCAGTGCCCATCTATCTTCCCATTCCCCATCTGTCACTATGAGCTGTTCTCTTCCAAACTTCTTCCTTTAAAAGGAAAAGTTCTGTAATGGTTTTGGTTCTCACTCCACTTGAAAAGAAACAGGTCACCCAGGTTGAAGGTATTCCTGTGTCAGTTTCTCTGATTTTGCATGGGACAAAGGGAACAAACCCTTAACTATACAATTTTATGCTTCATTAATAGAGGGTCTAGTCTTTGGATCAGTGCAGTGGGAGAAAGAATGGGTGAATAATATAATAACAATATCATAATAATTCTAATAATGTTTCTAATAAGGTGGGTTTGATTATCTCCATCAACTCCCATGTGAAGTTTCTGTACCACTTGAACAGAGGAAATCCCAAGAAATGTAGAGTATAAGAACAATAGCTACGGAAGCATTAACTTCATAACTAGTCTGACTGACAGTTCCGTGTAAGTTTTGGTATATTTTTCTGAAAAATTTTGTGTGTTCTTTTCGCTTATGGATTGATGTCATGTAACCTTTTTGTTTGTTTTATCACCACTTCAAAAAAAAAATATTAGTATAGTAAAATAAATAAAAGCAATTTTCATAAAAGCAAATGCATGGAAGAATGCAGAACAAAAAAAGGTTACAGTAAATTGGAGAGTATTAAATCTAGCATCATGACTTCCACCACCAAGTCACAGTCTAGTAGGATTGGCTTCAACACGCGAGTCATTTGTACTTTACCAGTGAAAGGAAAGAGAAATCCATTTGTCTGAATTTCACTTGTTTCTAATTTCCCTAATGAAGATACAGTCAGGTTAATAAACATAGCTGACAAAACTGTCAGGTGTTCATGTTCATTTAGAAAAATCTGCCCAGTAATCTACCGTTGACATGAACATGATGCTGAACTGAATATCAATTAGCTTTTTCAAGTCAGAATGAAAATTATTACGTAGGACAGCTAGACTCTTATCATAATTTTGTGACTCCTGTTTTTATTAGGGTTAGCTCCTGACTTTGCATCTCCCACATGAAAAGAAAAGCTTAGGAAAATAATATAGATATATGACATAATACCATCTCCAGTGTTATTTTCTGGACCTGTGACCTGCATTAATTTATCTCACATCAGTTTGCCATGAATCCCTGCTGAAAAGAAATGCCTTAGAAATGAAAGCTGAGTCAATGCTTAAGATCACACTGTTTTCCTGGTATCTGAAAAGTCTTTCTTCCCATCTTATACCTTGTGCAGAGTCCAGTAAAGTACAAGCAGTCTGCTTTTACCGGCCAGGACTTGCTCTTCAATTCTGTGTTTGCTGCCTGTCCTGCGGGGCTGACAGTGCAGCACTCAGCCCCTACTGATGCGTTACAAATATAGGAATTAGTCCCTTCTGGCTGGTCTGTGGACTTGAGAACCTCCTTCTGTCTTATTCCCCTGTTCAGCTGTGCAGTGTTCAACTAAATCACTTTGAAATCACTTTGACGCTGTGCTCCTGGGAAAAAATCTCTATTATAGGCTAGGAGAGAGAGGATATTACCTATTCTGTCTCTATTTCACAGTTACCTGAGGAAAAGTTGTGGGTTCATCTTTTTCTGAAGTAAACTAATTTTTTTCTAAATGTGAATATGCTTTCTCTTTACCTCAATAATTTTTTTTTTTCTTGTGCTTGTGGATAAGACTCATGTCGGAGAAGTAAGAGTGTGTGTTAGACCTCAGAACAGATGTTTACAATTGTCTTAGGGCAAAACAACTTGTGAAACAGTAAAATAACGTAGTTAAGATTTAACTGTGTAAAATATGGGTTTGTAACTGTTATCCCCCCAAAAAATCCAGTGTAGAAATTGTCATGTATTTGAGCACAATAGCTACATTTTCTACATGCTTTGGTGCCACTGAATGTGTCAGGATGATGCCCGTGGCTCCACACTGTATTCATGAAATGAAATGTGGCACCCATGTTACTGGGGAAGCCTGTATCTTCTGAATGATGTTGTGTGTCCATGGCTGATAAATTGCTTAATTGCTCCTATTTATTTGGTATGTCTGTATTGTTAACAGCAATTGAAGTTGTGTGATATTGAAAAAGAAAGTCAATGTGGAATATCCATTTAATCATTTCTGTCCCTCATAAGTTGCTTTAGAGGGACTTGTACCATTGGAACAGTCCTATACACATGTGCAGAAAAAACACTAAAACATGGATTGTTGTGGCAGTGTGGAGGTGATGCAATCTGTAGTTAAGTTCCACAGCAAGGAGTTCCTGCTGTAGGCCATTACACAGAGGAGCTCTGAGTGCTGCTGCAAAACAGGACTAAAGGTCATTTCTCTTGCCTCCATTCTCCTGATTATTCCTTTTTTTTTCTTTTCTTTTTTTTTTTTTTACGTCAGAGAAATAAATCTCACAAGATGTTTCATACAGAAAGCTGCTACAAAGCTTTCATACCTTTCCTTGTCTCAAATAATTTTAAATGCTAATACCTGGTCAAATAGTCTCTATTTTAGTTGTACTGAGACTACTTCAGATGTGAACTCTGCCTGGTTTACGATAATTGACTAATATTCAGAATTAATCCATTGTTTCCAAATTTTTTTTTGTTTAGTTAAGCACTTGTGTGCTATTCTACAGGACTTTAATGCTATTAAAACAGACTAAAATGGTGATGGAAATAAATAACATAAAAGTTTACCATTGTTTGGGTGTAAGTATTCTCATAGCTTTAAAATAAGGCCATCTGTCTTTGTTCTTTATCTTACAAATATTAAACTCCAACTTTATAAAACTTATTTAAATTTGTCCAGCATTTCAAATATTTACTGATCCCAAAATTAAAAAAAAAAAAAAGTATCAATCATATCTTGTCTACTTAAAATGATATAGGCATGTTCAGTGGGCTGCATACAGGTTATAAATTACAAATGATAATAATTGCTCATCAGAGCATTTTAATAAGTATTTGGAAGTACGTTGAAGAATTGTTTCTTACAATAAAGTGACATTAGGAAGGAAGTAAAAATGCTATTGTTAAACTGAGAAATGATGGTGTTTAGTCCGTGGCCTATAGCCACAGCCCTGTTACTTTTTAAAAATTTACTGTCCTGCTTTTAGAAAGGCAGATGTTAAAATAATAAAAATAAGCCACAGTAAATGTGACCTATTTTTGTAGACAAAAAGCTGACTATATGTTCTAATTTTTGTCTTTTTATTCAAATAACACATAAGGACTGCTGTCTATTGTTCCCCAAAGATGAAAGCCAGGGCTTTCTCCAAACAGTAGACTTTACCAACTACCCATCAGAATTTATGGTGATAATTTCAACAGTAATTTCTAGATAAAGAAAATATATATGTGAAGTGAACCTTTGCAGTCTTAGTAGACGCTGGTAAAAGATAAAAATGTAAATTCCTTAGTGCTATAGAAATAACAAATGAGTTAGGCCTACCTGTAGAATTTTGAATGTCAAGTTTGCTGGTTTTAGCTCAGATATAACTTTACTTTTGAGATACTGAAACACATTTATTCAGAATCTGAGTATTTTTTCATCCCATTATGGTTGCATGCCTTGTTATTTGGAAATATATGTAAAACTGCATTTTTCTTCATGAAAATATAATTTGTATGTATGTTCATATAGCTCTTCTTTCCAAAGATATAATCATATATTATGCTTATGATTTGTTCTTCTAAAGTAAGGTCATGATGCAATCAGAGATCAATTACATGGCATGAATAACAAATAGAAAAATCTACATGTTTGTAAAGGAACTGGCTTATTTCTCTGAATGATGAAAAACTTACTAGAGTTGAAAAAATAAGTATTTGGCAAATGAGTAGCAAACAGAAAGGAACATATAAGCTTGCAAAAATGATATGCAGTGAGTATAGTAATCAGCTTTGGTCTTAAATATGTTTCATCCACTTAATTGTTCAAATGAAATACCGTGTCATTCCAAGGTTAGTTGCTGCTTCCCTTTCCCTAGCTTCAGGGGGTTGACAGTATATGGAATAATGGTACTGAAGATACAGCAGGAATCAATTGCCTCTGCCTCCATCAGTTCTCTCAGTAGGTACAAGACACTCTTTCATTTTAAAAAATTACATAAATTACATCTCTCAGTGTGGTATCTTCTGGTTTTAGGTAGCAAGAATGAAGTAAAGATTTTAGTTTATTTATCTTTCTTATTTATATGGCACAGTTATATAAAAATCTGCAATCCATAATCCAAATTCAACACCATTTTCCACCAAACAAGCACAGGAAGAGACTGAATACTAAATCAGAGCTTCATCTTGCTTTTTCTATTTAGTACTTAATCCAATGAAGTTATTCTGATGTAACTGAGTGGTCTGCAATGGTTGGCAATGCATACAA